GCCCTGCTGTGGATGTTTTCTAAGAGAGGGCAGCCTGCTTCAACAATTCAATCTGTTTTAAGAAGCAAAGCAAAGCCTATACATTTAAAAAGTACTTTCTTTGAAAGCTGCTTATAAGTCTAAATGAGTTCTCTTGCTTCACTTTAAAGTTTTCATCAACTTTAACACTTAAAATTTTCAGAAACCATTGGCAAACATATGAAATTATATGTTTGCTGAAAAGTAAAAAGTAAAAAGCAAAACAATCAAAAACATAGGGTGCCTTTACATTTTAGTCTAGCAAGTGCTTTTCAAACATTAAGAGTCACCTAGGGAAACACATAAAGATGCTGATTCTGACCCACCAGTTCTGGGATGGCAGAGATTCTGTGTTTCTACCAAGCTGTAGAACTTGCTCTGGGGCTACCTTTTGAGTAACAAGGTGGTGGCAGGAAATGCACAAGGACTGGAAACACATGAACTTGAGTCCACTCTGTCTAGGAGTAGTGGCCTGGGAAAAGGTACCTCACTGCTGAACCAGTTTTCTCATCAATTAAAAATAACAATGAATTCTCCTTTGCAAGACTGTCATGAGCAGGTGAGCTAAAAGCACAGATTCTGGAGATAATAAATCCCAAATTACCCTAAATTCCATCTATGCTGTGATATTACCTGTGGTGGACTGAATAATATTCTCCCTCACTAAGAAGCCCAAATGTAATTCCCAGAATTTGTGAATATGTTATCTTCCACAGCAAAAGGGGAATTAAGTTACTACCTTGAGCTAGATGACCCTGGGTAGTACTATTGATCTGTACAGCAGGGAAGTAGGACAGTCACAACAACAGAGTGTGAGAAGACAGAACAGACATCAGACAGGAGAGAGGATGCCATGATGCTCCCTTTCACAGTGGACGAAGAGACCAGAGGCCAAGATGCTGGAACCTCTAGAAAGAATACAGCCCTGCAGATTCATGTTGGGACTTCTGGTTTCCAAAACTTTAAGAGAAAAAATTTATGTTGTTTTAAGCTGTTATAGCAGTTACAGGAAAGAAATGTACAATCTAATGAATAATGCCAATGTAAGCTTGCCTCCTTTAAAGAACTGAGGAGTGTATAAGACTACATCATCACTTGAAAATAATGATGTCTTAGTTTCTCAAGTGGAGGCAATACAGAGAACTCTTCAAGGAAACTTGAAAGAGATGAATTCAGTCTTTACCATCATGTTTAGCTTACAGCAAATTTTAATAAACAGGGATGGACAGATATGAGTTTGGCACCCAGCACTCTCTTGCTCCCTAATCGTACCATCACATCTTGATTTGTCAGCTGCACACATAACTGCTGGAATCTAACAAGGCTCCTGGGGACAGTATCCATGGGTTGATGCTTCAGTGTCAGTAGGATCAACAAAAGTAACCCTAGGCTTAAAAGTGAAGGATTGAAAATCAATGGTCCCCATATTTGTACAAATCTTCATTTGCTGCTTCTAATATAGCTAATCCCACAGGGAAGCATTATAAAATAAGAAAATACCTAGATAACCATAAAGATGTAGGAAGGATAAAAAAAAACATGTGTTTCAAAACAAATGGACTTTGTCCAGAATAAAGAAGATTGAATTTCTTAGGGCTGTCCTTATGGGTCTTGGTACTGGTCATTCTTTTCATCCTTATTTCTGTGCTTCCCTTGACAGACTCAAGCTCCACAGAAGGACCTGGTCTCTAATTTCCACTATTACATCACAACACCTAGCTCTGTACTTGGCACTTTACACACAATGAATATTTGTGGATGAACAAATATTATGATGAATATTACTTTTATTTACATTACTCTGGTCAGCATGGTGATGTGTGGCTATAATCCCAGCACTCGGGAGACTGAGGCAGGAGGACTGTTGTGAGTTTGAGACCAGCCTGGGCTTTAAAGTGAGTTCAAGGCCAGCCTAAAATGCATAGTGAAACTCTCCCAAAAAGACAAAAAAAAAAAAAAAAAACAAAAACTAACAAAACATTACTCTGAAAGTTCTTTTGCTTCATTCTGAACTTAAAGCTATTGGGTCCAAGATATTTACAGTACAATTAAAAGTATGCTTTCTGATTTTATTTGCCTGTTAAAATATGCAGTTGATAATTAACAATGTGCTAAGCAGTCAAAGCAAATAATTACTTTTGTAGTGAGGGAAGCCATTTATTGCATATTAAAAAATGATAACTAGTTTTAAAAAACATTGTTTACTCTCAGACCACAATATTCAAAACAGTTACAGTTTTCTCACTAGCTCAGTTAAAACCCCACAAACAGTCTAAATCTTCAGAAGAGATTATGAATTCTATTCCAGTCTCACTGAATATGAAATGTGTATTCGAAAATTTGCCAGTTCACATTGACAATGTCTTTGACCAACTGATAGGATTGATCATAAAAACTGTACCTTTTAATTTACTTATGTTCAGTATATTCTATTTCAGAGGAAGTATAATTGCATGAAACGTTTTTATTTTAAATCTGATTTTGAAATATAAGTGAATACATTAACATAACTCAGAACAAGTTGGTAAACAGCTACAAGAACATGTTACATAATTCCAGTGAGCTCCATAATAGTGTTTTAAAGAAAAGAAACTACTAGACAGAATACAGTAATAGTTAAATTTAAAATCTTAAGTTCAAGAGTCTAATAGAAGCAGAAGTTTTGCTCACTGTGTGGTCCAGAGTGGCAGTACATGCCAACGTGAATTTAGGGCCATATCCCAAAGAAACTAGCTAACTGCAAATCAGACCATTTGGAAGTAGCATTAATCTGATCAACTAACATTGCCTTGGTTTCTCTAAGGAAGCTCAGTCTTCTGTGATTTCCAATTCCTTTAGAAGCCAAGGAATTGTAGACATTTCCTGTGTATGATTTTGGCCACACTTTCAGCCACAAGTCACTGAGAGTGAGCAAGTTTACAAGCAGTTAAGATTTACCAACAGCTAAGACTTTACTTCTCTGTAAGGTAAACTCAGGACTATCTTTGCAAATGTTTTGCTGTACAGAGCTGCTGGGATGGTAATATACTGCAGAGGTATGGAGCTATTGTCCTTGTACCCTGTAGTCCCAAGTGGTTGAAGTTTTAAATTCTTGCTGCTTCAATTGGCTCTTGGCTCAAAGAACTGAGATCCTCAGAAGATAAGGGGTTTGTAAGTATTCACACATATGTCAGTAGCACATGGCTAACTTGGCTTTGTTTACTGACTTATGTTCCTTTTTTCTTCTAGAACAGGTGCTGCCCTACGGATGTGGCATCACTGGGCTCTCCATGTCCACGTGTATGGCCTAGTGTAAAATATGAGTAAATGGAGAATGAAAGTTCCCCCTGCTGACTACATTCCTTGAATTCTGGAGAAAAAATGCTGGCTGCCCCCTTTCCATTCTCTCAGCCTAACTCTGGGTTTTGTTCTGGACAGAAAGGTTGCTAACAAGTGAGCCTTATGGGTATAAATCGATGTGCCCAGGCTTCTTGCAGAGTGCCTTAGCTTCCAGAGGAAATGGAAATCATGGCAGGTCCTAGGTTACAAGTGAAGTTATTCCAAAATAAAAGTTCACAGCCACTGTATGTATAGTTAAGTATGTAAGATAGATAACCATATTACTAAGTTTTTGTTAGTTCATCAAACAGAATGGTTTGGACTGTCATTGACTGTTCACTTTTTATGTTTTGATTTTGTGACTTGAGCAACTACTTCTAAGATAACAATATGTAATTTATCAGCTAGTGATTTCTGTTTTTTTTTTTTTTTGAAATTCTATATTATTTCTACCCTTTTTCTGTTTTGCTTTTTTTCCTCTAAAAAAAAAATTCACAGCCACTGCTGAAGTTTACGGCACGATCTTCAGGTCAACTCTGTTCCATTAAAAAGAAACAGAGATGTGGGTAAGGGGCAGAGGCCAGAGGACCCGGCTCTGCCTCCATGATGGGCAGAAATACTGACTTATACTTGTTCATGAGGCTCTATCCATGTCTGGGAGAAAAGAATACCAGAGAAGAGAGGAAAAGAAAGAGTGAACACAGTCCCAGGAGACATCTGTTATTTGTCATTTTTTCATTTTTTACATCTTACTTTTCTTTAGAGAAACCTTCCTATTCTTCAGAAGACCATGTGGTTACAGTAGCACTGACCTCATAGCCTGGCCTGGCTTCAGGAGCCATATGAGCCTTTGACTCTCATTAGACTTCTTTTCCTTGAGATGGTTTTTTTTTTTTTCCTCTTTTCTTTTCTTTTCTTTTCTTTGAGTCAGGGTATCACTATGTAGTTCAGGTTGGCCTCAAATTCATAGCAATCCTCCTGCTTCAGCCTTCTGAGTGCTAGGATTACAGGCATGCCCAGCTAGATTGTTTTTATTTTAAAAAGGATACAAACCTATAGCTCCTAAGAGCCATTAGAGAGAATATGCATTCAAACCAGAGGAAAACAGAGCTAAATGATAGAGAGACCAAGTCGTAACAACAACCTCTGCGCCTTTGCAGTCAGTTGTACCTAAAGCCCAGATCTTCCCCTGGTCTTTACAGTCCAGTGAGGCAATGTGTACACTTAAAAAAAACAAAACTGAAGCCAAGTTAAGTTAAATTTCTTTAATGTTCAACTGGGCAAAGGACCAACAAACATGGGAGAAATAAAAATGTAAGAAAGAAGAAGGGAAAAGACCATATTTATGAGTAAGGTATCTAGAAACAATTCAGATTTGTTCCTGGAAATCAGAAAGGTGACATGGGGGAATCAGGTCTGTTTTCATATTAAGGTCAGATAATCAGAACTGTAAGTCTGCCTAATTACTGTGATTAATCTTGTTAAATTCTAAATCTAAAATGGGTGTGCATTTTCTGAGGTTCAGTGATACTATAATAGTTTTGAGGAGAAGGAATGAGCTGTTACCAGAGATGTGTTTGGATCAAGAGCATTTTCTTTTCTTGCCTACACATGGTCATAACTGTATAAAGAGAAAAGGTCATGACTGACAACCCCAATCTTACCTGGCATGGCATGGATGAGGTCGCCGCACAGAACAAAGAATTTAGGTTTGGGGTTCAGCTTGTTAATGGCCTGAACAGCCTGTTCAGTGAGACGGATCTCCTGGTCCCATTCATCACCACCATGGTCACAGTCCCCAGTGGACCAGGCCTTCATCAGCCCAAACTGTGGGTCTGCACCTTGGATGAAGTAGAACGGGCCTTTCCATTCCTGTTCCTCTTCTGAAAGAGAGAGAGAGAGAGAGAGAGAGAGAGAGAGAGAGAGAGAGAGAGAGAGAGATGAGTCAGGCAAGGTATCTAGGTTACCAGGCAAGTAGATCAATATTTTCCTTACATTAAGTAGGTCATTTTAATAAGCTGCTGTTCAAACATACCATTTTGCTGTCATAGTGTAGAGGATTTTGATTTGTACTAATTATGCCTGGGACTGGTGATTCCCAAAGGCCACAAGAAACCATGTGGGCTGCTTCAGCCATGCAACCAAGCTGTTTATTTAAAAGCCAGACGGCCAAGCCAAAGCACAGAGCCACAACAGTACCATATAGAGGATATTAATGTTCAGCAATAGTGTTCTAATTAGAATTAAAAATACCCCAAATTGAACACTGCCAGAAACATTATATTTAAATTACTAGTTGAAGTACTTACAAATCCTCACAGTCTTAATGGCACCATTTACATTGTTTTGGGGAATGTGACAGAATTTAAATCACAAAACTTGGTGCTCAAAGCTCCGGCTATCTGGTGGGAAACATAGTGCCAGAAATGAATATCTAAATGAGTAAGTCAATGTGGAGGAGGAGAAAGAGGAAGGGAAGAGGAGGAAGAGGAGGAGGAGAAGGAGAAGGATAAATGCTACCATTTGAAAAGCAGCAGGAGGTAGGTAGGCATCAGCATGCTATGAGGCTAGGTGTATGGAAAGAAAGGAGTTTTTTCTTCCCTAGTTTCACTGAGGTAAAATTGACCAACCCCCCCCCCAAATGTATATATTTAAACGCACAACACAATGTGCTGGCAGGTGTATGCATTGTTAAATGATTACCACCACCAAAACACTGCGCATATCCATCACCTCACAGTTTTACCTTTTGTGTGTGGGTGGTGAGAAAACATCTACTCGTAGCAAATTTTAAGTATATAATACCTATTATGAAACACAGTCTCCATGCTTTTGCTTTTGGTTTTTAGAAGCTACTTATCTTTTAAGAAAAATTTTCACTGACATAAAAACAGAACAATTTTACAGGATACCATGTGATATTTTAATATATATATACACAATATAATGTTCAAATCAGGGTAGCCGAATCTATAGTCATAAATATTTTTCTTTATGATGAAAACATTAAAAATCCATTTTCCCAGTTTCCTGATACATTTGGTCCATTATTGTTATCTGTAGTTACCCTACTATGCAACAGAACACCAGAATTTATTGTTCTTATCTAACTTAGTAGTGACTAGCCAAACTTTGGGACAGGATATTTTATATTCTTAGGGGGTTCTGTCTAGGCTCAACTGATCCAGGTGATCCTGGATTGCTCTTCTAGTTGGTTCTGCTGGGCTGAAGCTTCTGAAGCCAGAACTGCCATGGGTATCTGCTTCTAAAGAGTTGGCATGGCCATGAGTGGGCATGGAAGCCCTGCAAGTTTCAAATACTGTTTTGGCACAGAATCTTTTCTTCAAACAAACTCTGTGGCAGGCCAACACTGAGAACACGAAGTGAGAGATGTCTTTATGCAGCAGGGCCTGTGGCTTGCATTGTCGGATAAGGTCTGGAGGTGGAGCACAGTCCAAGAATGGTGATCTTAAGTCCCCTCTTTTATCTTCTGAGGAAACTGAGGTCTACAGATATGATGTACCTTATCAATGGCAGGCTCACCAAGTCTTAGTGCCAAGGACAAAACTACCTTATAATGAGTCCAGTTTTTTTTTACTTTTTAATAATGCATCATGCATTATTATACGTGCTATTTCTTTGGAGGTCACAACCATATTATAATTTCCAAAAAGCTCCCCATGTTCATGTACTTGCCAGGCCTCATATCAAGCACTGATAATATATGGGTAACCCAAACAGAGGAGGTCTGTGCTCTCCCAGCAATAAGACCTTTTGAGAAGAGACAATAAACAAGTAAACATCCAGGGAACTGAGTCAGAGTCCTCTGGGCTCTGGAGGGAAGCAGGGCATAGTTTAAATTAAATGGTCAGGGAAGGCTTTCCTGACACTATTAGGAGTAAGATGAGATCTGAATACAGGGAGGCGCCTTTTTAAATTAAATTCCATAGCCACCTAGCTATCCATCCCACAAGGTTACTGTCATTTTAGAATGGACCATTGGCTTTGGCTCATCATTCTTTTATTTCCTTTTCCGAAGTTAAAATAAAACAAAACAAAACAAAACAACAAAAAGTTAACAGAACACCCTTACACACTATGTAGAACAAGTGGTACACATATGTGAACCAGTCAGTCCCTGAACTACAGCACAATTGCTCAGTCAAGTCACCCACCAGAGATTACTGCCAACAAGGAGAGCTGGAAATGCTGGTGTGCAGAGGATGGCACCCTGGCACTACTGGAGGGCTTAGCTCACATTCTCCCAGCCTTTACTGAGAGTGGCTGAAAGACTAAGATGGTCCCCAAAGATCCTGCCTGGTGATATTCATATTCTTGTGCAACCCTAAGTGCGGGCTAGACCTAGGGACCTGCTTCCAATAAATAGAATACTGTGATGGGCCATCCATTCAGAGAACAGGCCTGAGAAAGACCACTACCTGAATCTGTATTCCTATCCCTTACTCTAGAAGTCAAAACTATCACATAAACAGCCCCATGGGGTGGCCAGCACAGCAAGAAACAGGGAAGCCACGTAGACTGTCAATTTGATGATGACAAAGCACAAAATAAATAGATTCGATCTAAAATGACAGTAAGCATATCAATGCTCAATCTACTTTATGTATCTAATAAAATAATTTGTTGACTTAGGGATCTGCATTCTCAAAGGCAGCTTGATCCTCTTAGAGTTTCTACCACCAGCCCACAAAAAAGGAACTGCACTCTGCTAACAGCTCTGCCAATGGACCTGGAAAATTCCCTCCCCTACATTTGATCTCAAGAGAGCAGAGCCCTATCTGACTCCTTGGCTGTAGTTTTAGGAGAATCTGGGGCCAAAGAACTCTGAAAAGCTGTATGGATTCCTGACAGAACTGAGATGAGATGATGCAAGCTTGCTGCTTCAAGTGGCCAGGCCTCAGGGTAATTTGTTATACAGTGATAAATGCCAGAGAATCAGTCAGCAGCAACAAAGGGTCAAGGAACAGAATGACTTCCTGAAGAGCTGAATGTGTATCACACAAAAAAAATCTGAGATTCTGCTTCATGTTTGAAAGTTAATTGTTAGCAACATTTATTCATTTTAATAAAATAATATGTATTGCTGAATACTTTTAGCTATATTCCTATTTCTGAGGCCCTTTGAGGAACCATTTAAACTGTGTGAATTAATCAGAGCTGGATCTAGGAGGTGATGGGCACCCAAGGTTGCACCATAAATCAACCTTCTACAACAGAGCTTAGAAACAGTTCCCCACAGCAAACATTTGAACAAGTAGTTTCCAATGACAAATAGGCATACCCTCAGAAAGTCAATAGTCCTTGGAGCTATTAAAATAAATCTTTCAGTAGTTACCTACTTAATAAAAACTTAGGCTGTCAATTTAATGACAACAAAGCACAGATTAAATAGGCTCAATCTAAAATGAATGGCAGTAGGCATATCAATACTCAATCTACTTTATGTATCTAATAAGATAATTTGTTGACTTAAGTGAAAGGGTTTTGGCCCAGACAGGACACTATAGCCAGGAAAGCCACAACCGGAAGCAGGAAGCCCCTATCTCTCCTGCCCCTAGGAAGTTACCTGTGACGCCATCTTCCCGCCCCTGGAAATTTACATATGGCACCAAATCTAGGACCAATGGGCTACCTGTGCATCCCTAATGCCCGCCTTAGATTCCACCCCAAACCGAGGCTATTTACATACCCCCACGCCACATGTCTGCCGGCGAGATCGCCAGTTGCCAGCGGTGGGGTGTGCCGGTCATCTCTCTCCATGTTCTCAGAATAAAGGCCGCTTTTTATTTTATACTTCTCATTTTTTGGAAATATTTTTCATCTTTTGGAAATAATCCTAGCATTTGGTGCCATGACTCGATCAGCAGGCGATTGACTCCTGGGACACACCCAGTTGAGTCCCCTAGCCGATAACCAGATAACATCCTGGATTTATTCCGAACTTTTTCCTCTCCCAAGACGTCCTTGTCGCCAGCCGCCTGCACTCAGCATCGGCCAGACTGATTTCAGGTGAGTACTCCCTGGGGAACTTTTGGCACTGGGCAGCCCCAGTCAACTGTTCTCCCCGTTCACGTGGGTCTGTGCATTTTCACGTCCTTAGGACAGCCCAGGGCAGGGTTCTTTCTGGGCAAACCTGTGTCCACACTCTATAAAATCTCTCACGTTCTTTGGGTTTGGATAGCCCAAAGCAGAGATTTTTGGATCACCCACACTGAAAGAATCGCCTCACTTCCCTTAAAGCCTTGCGCTTTCACGGGCAAAACTGTCACTGACCCCACATGGGCCCCACTCGTAAATCTCTCAGTGACGACTGGAATATATGAGTTTTTGGAACCATAGCCGCCACGTGGTGCCACAAACAAGTGACGTCTTGTTCTGGACCACTGGCTTTTTTCTTGCCTGAATCAGTCATGGGAAACGTATTTTCTAACTCCCAAAAGACACCTCTACAATGCCTAATTTCCAATTTATGTACTCTAAAAATTAAAAGTACCATAAAAACTAAACAATTAACTTTTTACTGCCAGGAGGTCTGGCCAACCTACCCGCTTATCGGCAAGCATTGGCTCAAAGAAGGAACATTTGACCCCTGCATTCTCAGAAACTTGTATGAGTTCTGTCAGACCGGCAACAAGTTATTAGAACTCCCTTATGTTCAGGCCTTTCTTGTTCTGAGAACACGCCCATCTCTCATTAAGTCTTGTGCTCCCGCTCAGATACTTTTAGCTAACTCTACTGCATCACAAACTTTTCTGTCCTGCTCTCCAGTGTTTTCCTGGCTGCCGCCTGCCTACCCCCAAACTCATTCCCTGTTGTTACCTCCTGCTGGACCGCTCTCCCCTTCCCCTATGCCTGATTCTCT